AATGAAGACAGAGAAAAGAGAAAAGTTGGGAAGTGTGGCAGGGTAAAACCATACATTTATATAAACAAGATGGTTGAGGTAATGGTCCAAAGAATCTCCAACAGATTTTTTAAAAATAGCACTTAATTGGTAGAATTCTTACCCTGACTAACTATATACACTGATACCTGTGAACTAAGCAACTGAACCAAGAATAGAAATGTGTAATCCTAGGGCCATGCTTAGAATGTCTGTCATTCTGGTCTTGGAAATGTGTGCTGCTTCTAATGTCATATCAATTACTGCTATATTCGCCTTTCTGAAAAAAAGAAAGTAGTATGTAACATACCATTACGAGGAAGAATTATATTTATGTGTCAAGGAGATATCTAGAAATATGTCAGCAAAGCTGATCACAAAAAGTTTTCAGTAAATAGTGTTTGACCAACTGCAAGCAAATATCGTACTGGGCTCTGTAAATGTGTGCTTCAGTCATTTCTTTGGTGTTCAATAAAGTACCTGTAGTGAAATGATCTAGAATATATTACCCATGTTTGTGGTATGGGGAAAACACTACTCCTCAACTCAGGAAAGAAATGCCAATCCTACATGAATGAATTCTGATTTGAAAACAAAACACAACTTTGAGCTCCTATGGGATGAAGAAGATACTGCATGGACTGTCATGCCTGCCACAGCTTTCTGCTTCAACTACCACTTGTCTTGAGGTCTTGCAGGCAAGACAGAACCCACGCTCTGACTGCCCTCTGAAAGGTTTCCAGGACCTCAGTAGAGGAGAGGTTAGCACCTATGTAAACCAATCATGTGTCCCTCACCGCAGGTTGCTCTCAGCTCCTCCACTAGGTAGTGGGCTTCCTCTTGAATACGGCTCTCAATGCTCCTTTTGCCCATCCCTAAGTTCCGCAGGGTCATGAGGGCAATACACCAAGTTTCTTTCCATAGTTTCCATTGCTAAAAACAATTCCTAGAAGGGAAGGAGGGACAAAAGCCACATGTAGGCAAGAAAAAGGCAGCTGACATGTGGCACCCACAGTGGGCTAAGCTGTGTCTGAGGAGCTCTTCCACTCCTTACCTCCGTCTCCTCATCCCATTGCACAACACTTCAACATGCACCCATGAACACTTACTAAGGCCTCTGTTCACTTTATCAATTATTGGGAAACTCCTTCTTTCAACAAAGTCTTCCCCAAGTTCAATCAGGGCTTCCTTCACTGCTTCATATCCATGTAGGACCACAGTGGGCTTCATGCCCAAGTACAGGGTGAATGCAGGGCCATAGACTTTGGAGAATTGAGGGCAAGAAAGCAATAATGAGCAAATAAAGGATAAATAATAGGAAGCAGGGAGATGAATCTTTCTTAAGCGGGAAGTGGATCAAGAGATGGAGAGAAGACAGTGGTAGTGGAGAAAGGGCTGAGAAGAAAAGGAGATGTGTTAAGTACATGTACCAACCTCTCACAAAAAATATAAACATGTGTTGTGAATGTATGCTAATAAAAACAGAAAAGGAAAATACTGAAATAAGTCATATCTGATCTACAAATTTTGATTGCTTCAGATGGTTACTCAAATTCTACTCACCATATTTTTATTCTGCTACGTTTAACTTAATTTTTTTGAATTTTTGTAACAATGAAGATGATAATTATCATATTCTCTGCTGACTGATCTCGTATTCCACCACTTCACTATTACATAAGGATTTCTCTCTTTTTTGAACTTTTCTTTTTCCTATTTATTATCATCACAGTTTTGCTTTCTTAAATTTGAAAAATCTGATGATTACTAATTCATTCACAGACTGAAAAACAGAAACCTCCAGTGTAGTCAAGTACAGCAGGTGTCTTTTAGCAGTTCTTGTTGGAGAATCCCACCTGAAACTTCATCTTCCAGCATTTTCTGTTGGCCTCATTCTTTTCTCTCTATCAAGTTTCCCCTTAGTACAGTTAAATTAGTTTTAGAAACTTTATGGCTAATATTTTGTTTTTTCTCCACAACAGATTGATCTCTTTCAATCTGACAATTTGTAAGAGCATTAGAACCATTTCATTTACCTTCTTTTCCCCTTTCCAACATAGTTACTTGTCCATGTATTTGTACATCAAGGCCAACATATTCACACTCTATTTTGTAGCCAAAATTTAATATCTCTTCAGAGATGTTGTGTATTGTTTTCATTTCTGTTGTTATTATTTAAATGCTACTCACAGAATATTTAAGTTTTATGCGGTGACCATGTGTCCTTTTCGCTGGCCCAAGGTTCTAATCTAAATGTTATTCAAAGGACATTAGATGTCATTTTCACACACTTCGGCCATTTGTTCAAAATCTTGTAGCGTTTCAGGCCCAGTAATTGGAAGATGTGTTTCTTGTATAGATTTGCTTTTTTTTACTGAGAATTTCAATATATATATATTTTTTGTGGGTTGATGAAATGCATGACTTCCCTCATACCTTCAGTACCATGGGTGTCTTATTCAGTGTCTAGTTCACAATTCAGTCCAGTATTTCAGAAGTTCATTGACTGTTTAATTTCAATTTATACTGTAAGTTTGTTGTTCATTTAACTTTTTTTTCTGAAAATTTTGGTCTTTCTTTTTTATATAATGCAATCTGTGCCCCTTCTCTTGTTGTGAAATCTGTGCAGTTATATGTAAAAGATGAGCAAGGCAATGATCCGGAGAA